GTAGTAAAAAATTCACTTTACCTTCCGGCGTACCATATTTTCGCTTCGGACCTCTATCAGATTCTGATTTCCTAGTATATATGAATGTATTGGCAAAATAATTGATTGGGATGGTGAAACATTATCCAGGTAAACATTTATAATTATATAAAATTTTATTGATTTATAAGGCATATTTAACTCATAATTTGTAACAATTGTTTTTTTTTCGGTTCAATTTTGATGACTAGCAATATATCTCTTGAATCATTTACTTATGCATCATTGTACCAATTCGGAAGAGCCCTCGGTTCGGTGCCTTTATATAGTATATCATCCAACAATTATAATGGATTTTTACTTGCATATGCGAATACTCTGAACCAAATTAACTGGGTAAAATATAGTTTTTTGTAAGTATTTAGTATTTATTTTATTTTATTTTCTTATTTTTATATTCTCAATCTAATTAAATGAATATTTCTAAAACAATTTTTTTAGAGAAAATGGAATAAATGTTACACCTGTAGCCAATGGTAGCGTTCAAATATACAAAAATTATAACTTATCCCAAATCCTTATTTTCAATACACTTGACAAGAATCATGTTTTAGTACATGCAATAAATAAATATAATGACTATAAAAACTTTACCACAGATGACAGTACGCGTAATCAATCTTTAAATAATGAAGAACCAACATTAATTGTATTCGCATCATTTTTTGATCCAAATTTCAATCAATTAAATTCAGTTATACTTTATAGTTCTTTTGCTACTTCTGTATACATCTCATCTTGTCAATCAGGTTTTAATATAGCAAGCAACATATGCATTTTACGTATAAATACTAATTCATCATATTCTACTTTCAAGTATATTGAATTCTCGAGTTTAGGTTCTATCAATTATACTCAGACTCTCAATCCTCCATTTATTAACTCGGGTTTTCAGGGCGGTAGACTTAGTGACCCAAATGCAGATCAAATTATTCCATTACCATTTGGAGGATATTTTGAATCAACTTATGATAGTTGTTTCGCACGCAAAAATTATATTTATAACACAAATGGAACATTAGATAAAGAATGGAATATACCGTATTCCTTACCTCTACCCTCACCTTATTATTATCATTTTGGAGCGTTTCCGAACAATACTATATGGGTTGTTCAACATTATGTAGATAATTTTTTTGCCAACTGTAGTGGTTTTGACTTCTCAAGTACCTCTGGCTGGAGCATTATGACAACAAATATTGAACCATATTATCAAGACCGTGAGTATTTTCAAAAAACATTAAGTTCAAAATTATAAATTTTATCTCTTAAAATTATAAATTACTAGAAAATTACGTGAATCCAGCAATAAATTCAACATCTCCGCCTAGATTCGATATTCAATTATTGCAAAATACTAGTTCACAAGAATTTCCACCAGGGAATATGGATTATTTAACAATCTCATTTGTTATTCCGATAATCCGTTCAATAGGAAATATTTCAGTTTATCAAATTAGTAGTTTGGATACCATGTCATATATTTTAACATATCAAATAACCAATATTAGTAAATTGATAAATAGTTCTAATGAAATTTTACCTCGACAAACTTATCACGTTAGAGATAATTGCTTAAATACAGATAATACAAACAATTTGGATTGCCCTGTTTTCTCAAGCACCTTTAATAGAAAGAATTATGTTTATATGATAATAGCTGATAATAACTTTGTCATCTCAGCTTCATATAAAAATCCTATTAAAGGAATTAATAATGGAGTTTGGATTTTTAAGATTGCATCTGGTAATTAATTTTTATGTCGACTTTTATTGCGCAGAATTCGTCGCTAACGGGTAGTAATACTATCTAATAAAAAAAACTCATAGATAAAAGTTTAGATAAAGTCGCTGGTACATTTAATTTTATAAGATTATTCGATTAACTACTGATAACTTAAAAAAAAAATCTAATGAAATCTTTTATGTTTTATTCTTTACTAAGAATCTGCTTCTGCATTGCTTCGATTGGATAGCATGGGCACAAAAATTTACTATCAAAATTATGCCAATAACAAATCCAATTTTTTGAATATTTTACATTCTCAATTGTCAAGCAGCATTCCAATTTCTAGAGATAGGTTACAACTATTAACTGGAAATCAACTAAAACCAGATCCAAATGATGATTCAAAATTATTTATTAAAGTTGATATTTTGAAAGCAACTGAATCTGATTCTGAACCAACTGTGCAAAGTATTATCGACGATTTAGATATGTTGATAAGGAATAAAAAAAAATACAATTATTTCTTATAACAGTCATACTTCATTATTGGATTCTGATTATGGATTTAAAGTTGCTCGTATGTACATTTTATCTCAAGTTATTAATTTTTATCACCAAATTAATTGTTGCTATAAATGATTTGTTTTATTTTATAGCGAATTTGTGGGATAGTTTTAAATATGCTTTATTAGGCATATTTATTGGTATTGGAATTCTTTGTTTAATTTTTATATGGGCAAAAAAACGTAATCCGAAAGTAAGAATTAATCTTCCCATTTTACTTCGTTGATACTAATTATTAAACTTAAATACCTATATTTCTTCAGGGAAAAAATTTAATTATATTCGAATTAGTATTGATAGTAGTAGATTTGTTTTCTCAGATTTTATTTGTTGCTAAAAATGGGCGTGATGTAAAGTCACTTTTTATACCATGGTTTGTTATATATTTTATTATATTTTTTGCTGTATTTATTGCTTCTATTTTCATAATACATATTAATTACTTATCGAATATAAATGCAACCTTTAATATATTCTTTCTAGTTTGTTTTTTATTATATTTCCAATAGTAATGAACATTATAATGACGTTTTCAATTCTGATATATGAATCCTCATTCAATGGAAAATTTGGAAGATGGCTAATCAAGAATGTGAAGATAGCATCAATATTCACAATAATCTCATCAGCTAATGTTAATGCGTTAATAATATTCATATCAAAATTTGCTGGGTTTAAAATCTTTGATTCTCCTTTATCTTACAAAGCGCAGTATTTGATCTTTCTTGGCACATGTTTAAATTTAATAATAAATGATATACCTCAATTTGTTATTCAGGTTAGCATTTTCTTAATGTAAATAATTCTTAATGATTTATTTATTAACATAATTCTTTATTTGTCTCTTATAGGTTATTTATTATTATGAAGTAGTTTCATATACAGTTATTCCACTTCTTAGCTTGATTACTAGTTGCTTAATACTTTCGATTAACTTTTTTTCAAAGCTTTATTATTTAATAGTTAAACTATTTATTGAGCCTAGAAGTCAAAGTGATCCAACCATTATTGAAGAAGTCTCACAAAAGCAATAATACCTGAAAACCCGTATTTTTGCACAGAGCACAATAATTTAATTAAATCGATTGAAGCATGCCCTTTATAAAGAGTATTCATGGTTAATTTATGATAATCAAATGTGATGGGATGACATATAGAACAAGAGGTAAAAATGGGTACTATAATATTCAAATGTTACATATTGTAGATTAGCCATTGATTAATCATATAATACAGTAAATAATAAATGACTTTTTTAATTTTTTTCGAATTATTAGGATTTAACAAACAGCTTTTGGTTCTATTACTTTAAAGAAAGTACTCAATAAATACAGTGATCTCCAAATGCATTTTCTCCAAATGCACAACCTCTTAATTGCACATTCTAATTCTGGCCCAAAATATGTATAAATGCAATTTCTTATTAATCTTTAAATATACGTTGTCAAAGTCGGTCCATGTTTGATGTATTTAGAGAGGTCTGACTATATCATTTATTCACATAGGTTTAGTAGTTTAGAAATTATTATTGTTTAATTTTATGTATTTTTACTAATAAGAATAACCGATAATGCACTCGAATCTAATTCTAACCAATCTGAGGTATCTTTATACAAAGAATTGGATTTTTATATAACTGATTTGTTTGCATTATTATTACTGGACTCCAAAGTGTGGTAAATGTTATTAAGCTCTATATATCTATCACGAGTTTCTTTTATAATATCAAGATATTTTGAATCAAGATAATATTCTTGTAATAAAGTTTCTAGTATAGCAACTCTATCTTCTATAGTCGCACCCGAAGGCAATTTACGTGGATCATCAACTAGTGGAATTCCAGCTCGTGAGATATATCGTTTTGCGAGATGGTCTTTAAAACTTTTTCTAAATGGCCGCCAACATAAACAAGTCTGGCATAAACCCCTTTTTACATAAATAAAAAAAGATTAAGATGTTTAATAATAATGATATTATTATTAAAAATTATGGTGCATATTTTTTTATACAAACCATGGAGAATGTTTTGATTGTCCAAAAAATAAAACAAAAATTGAACAAATTGCAGTATAAAATCCTCCAATGTTTGAAAGTACATTACCAACTACAATATAAAATTTATAATAAATATTAAGCTTTTATAAAAAAGCGAGGTTAGATTATATCACTTACAGCCACTATAATTCTCTTTTTCATAACGGACCAAATGATTTTTTGGACTAATTGCCAATAGTGTATAAGGGCTATTCGGATTTAATGGAAGTAACTTCAAATCAATATCTAAAAGAGCTTCTTTTTGAGTAGACATAACTAAATCTCCGAGTTGGGCATTAAATCTTGAAGAAAACCTTCGGTGAACTTTTATTGAAAATTCAACAATCGCCAATTGACCAAGAGAAATTGAATAAATATTGCTAATGTTACTGATATTGAGTGAACCTTCAGAGGTAATAAAGACTTGGTTGAAAATAATTTTAATGTAACCTGAATTTGTACTATTTAATTGTGGTGGATCAAGCAATGAGATGTTTAGCATTATTAAGTCATGATAGTTTTGTTTATATGTGAAATAAGTAGAGCTATTAGAGAAGCTTGTCATATTCTGACAATTTTTAAGGTTTTCGCCACAAGGATTACTAGAGTCTTCAATATTTGTATATGGAGTAAATATCCAACATCCATCAGATAATTTGAAATAATTATCACATGATGAATAATTTTGATCATGAAATTGTTTAACACAAGAAGCATTCTTGATCGCATTATATTGAACGTTAGAGTAAGGATCATTAGGATTTGTAACTTTTAATATTATTCAATAAAATAACGAATTAGATAATTATTCTTTAATAAGAAAGAAATTTGAAAATAAATTACCAGCATAACAAATGGAAAACCCTATTATATTTACGTTCAAATTTTAATCAGAAATGTAATTAATAATATATGCTCATTTAAACAGTATATAGTATATACCTGGTAATGTAATATTTTCTAGGTTTTCAGTGATGATCAAGATTGGATTATTGTTATTAAGAATAAAGTCATTCCAGGAATAAAATGTGTAAAGAAAAATGAAACCAAAAAAGAGAAATGTAAATAAATATCTAACAAGCAGAAAAAATGAAGGCTCAGTTGTTCTATCGTGATTAAACATTTTTATTGAAGCTTTCTGTAATGCGTGTTCGTACTTATTAATATCTATAATAATACCAGATATATGTAAGCTCTTTTAAAGTATTCTAGTGCAACTGATAAACAAGCTCTTTTGCATATGCATGAATAGAATCTAAAATTCTAATTAACCAATGTTATAGTATCGCATTGTCTAAAAATATTCATTATTGTCCGATGTAAGGGAGTGAATTTTGTTACACGATTCAGCCAACTTGATAAATTTCTAAATCTTGTTTATCAACAATAAAATTATAATGCTGTATATTATTGTGATCATGGCTGATGACAAAAATTCAGGCTAAGCTGATTTTCGGCCTGGCCGATCATGAGGTTATTTATATAATAATAATAATAATAAAACGCAGGGTTGCAAAATCGATAATTTACGGTAAATTACCAAAATGGTAAGTTACCGGTGACAGTAGCCAGTATTTTATTTTGAAAGTTTCCGTGGTTTATGTTAACCGCTCGAACATTTCCTCAAAAATTCATGGTAACTTATGCTTATATTACGTATGATATATTATTCTACCAAATTAACCAAAATTTTTCGGCTAAGCCAACTAAGCCAAGCCGGTCAAAAATTTTTGATCGGCTAGGATCATTAGTCATTTCATACGCGCGGATATACAACGCCAATTTTCCTATTATATTATGTATAGAAACTAGTATTAATATTTTTCGAATATGCACGTGCGTGCGTGCGTGCGTACGTGCGTATGATAAATACAGCATATTGAATCAATTATTTCATGCAAAATACGTAATTCGCTTACTCACAATGTTTAATCAAGATTCTATATACAACTCGTTAACACAACTGTATCAACATTTTCTTTTGTTCAGTAAATTAGAACTGTTGTTAGTCGTATTATTACTAGAAAACATTATTATAAGATATGTATACATTGTATATCTTTGGGATATAAATTCTTTTTATGCTCATCTATTGATTATACCTTTTGGTTGTTGGGTTTCTTCTTTTATTTTGGTAAATATTTTGTACTTCAAATCACTGGCACTACTTCTAAAAATTAATTATTATTTGATATACACGTAGACTGCATCAAGATTAATATCACATTTCCTTATAGTTATTGTGCAAATTGTTTGGTTTGATTACATTATTTATATTTCTGCCGGCACAGTTAATCTGAGTATGTAAAGCTAGTTGATATCCATTCATTATTAAACTTTTTAATAACTAATTCTTATACAGGTAATTTTTATATACCTTTGTATATTCATGATGAAATACTCTTGTTATCTATTATGAGTTTTAGTATGTTCATATTATATTATCAAAGGTAATAATAATTCATATTATGTACATCATTTGGTATTTGACTTTAATTTAAAAACTATTTATATAATTTTTAGAGTTAAATCGAATGCATTCTCTCCGGATGAAATAATATTAAAAACAGGAAGATTAGACATTATAAGTAATATATTTTATTACTATCTTTAATCGCTATCTTTTTTTTTTTAATGCTAATTTGTATAAATAAAAATTTTCTATTAGAACTTTATAAAAAATATAAGTTTCAGATATTTCTTGCTCATGCTCAAATTTTACATTTCGTATATCTCGTTTATATATGGTGCTACTATTTTGATAGAATTTTTCAAGGAAGTTTACTATTACCAAAAACCGTATGTTTTTTTGTTTCAATACCATGGTATTGGTTTTTACCACTAGTTATTGCTTTTAATATGATCAATGGGGTAATTTTATAAAAATTATTTATAATTGTATATTTGTTTATAATTGATAATTGATAATTATTGTATATTTCATCTTTATATACATAATATTTTTATTTAGGTTCGAATAGAATCAAGTTATAAAATGACAATAGCATATATTACTAGTTTTATGATGCTTATATTCAATATACTCAATGTTTTTTGCGTTTTTCTCCCTGATATTGGTGTACGCATTATGGCTGGTTTGTAATATTTATTTATAAGTATTTATTTAATTATTTATAATAATTGATATTAACATATATAAATATAAAAATTATCATATTGTTAGGATTTTTAATTCTCCTTAATATAACGTCAATAATTAATTCTATTTGTTGTCAGAGAAACTTTGGAAAGAATTTAAAAATATATTGTAAATACATATTTATTTATCTTATATATTTATCTTCAAAAACTATTTTAATGCTTAATTGCTTTTTTTTTTTTAGTAAATTATCGACCTTGGTTAGACATTTATAATTATAGCGATGATTTAGATATTGTATTTCAAAATAATTATGAAAAAGTTTTTGCATATACTGAGAAATCTTAAATTTATATTATTAGCTCTATTATTTTTTAGTTATAGGTTTAATATTAGGACAATATATAAAAAGTTCGCAGGTTCTTTTAACAAGTTGGATTACAAGTAGCAAATTTTTCTAGCACAAATTATAAATTTCTGATTTTATTTTGGAATAATTTTTAAAGGTTTAATTGATAGTTTACTATAGTCAAAATTTGATATATCTTGGTGTTAAGGCCAGACCAATTTAATTCGGTGGTTTACGTTACCCCCCCCCCCTTCTGCCTTCCCCCATTTCCCCCCCCTCTATATGTGCGGAAAATTTCGGAAAACTTTTATTATATCGCGGAGCGTTTCGGAAAAAATTTTATAATAAACTCCCTCCAGTCC